CCCCAAAACCCCAAAACCCCAAAACCCCAAAACCCCACCTTAAATACTTTGCTAAATTCTGAAGAATTGAATTACATTAATTAAAAAGCAGTCATCCTTAATATATTATCTTTTCAAGAGCAGCTTAAATAATGGATTCTTAGAGAATATTATCATCATAATCACCAGAGATAACTCGAAATCGTAAATATACTAAATCAAGTCAATCAATATCATTTGGTTCTTAATTTGAAAATGAATCACTTCCTCTATAATGCGACAAAGATTTGTGTCAACTATTGGCTGATGAAGATCAAAAAACTAAATACGATATCAATAAAAGGAGAATTATATGGCAAATATCCATTTTTATGTTGGCTTTTGCAATCAATTCTCTTGTGGGCTTCAGAGATTACTTTGTTATGGATATATCCAAGGAGTTCCCAGACTCTCCAGTCACATTTGCGTTAAATCTTTGCAGAGGTGTTGGATTTGTAATTATAGGGAATATTTATGACAATGTCAATAGACCAAAAACTTTAACATTTATCCTTCTAGTATTACTTTCAATCTTTACATGCTTTGTAATATTTTTTAAAGTTAATAAGATATATTTTTAGCATGGAACAGCTAATCTTGATATTACTGGATCATCCACAGAGGAGAATTTACTTGATCATAATTAGATGTCTGACGATGATTCAGATGGATAGTTGGTCTTATTTTAAATAGCAAGTATCAGAGTATTTGAAACAGGCGTAAGTAATTTAATATTTATATTGTTATAACCTATTTCTTAGGTCAATATTGCTTGCATCGCTATATTATACAATTGGTTCCCATCTAATTTAAAGTCTTTTGTTGTGGGAATATGGCAAGTTGCATATCTTTTCATTCCTATCATAAAAGACTAGAATGACTATGATTTTTCTGGGGATACTTATGTAATTAATTTTCAAATTATATGATTTTAGCCACTATTGTGTATTCTTGTAGGATTAGTTTATTTCTTTCTAAGCATCATCAGTAAATTCTTCTTTTATCATCACCCATCTCACATTAACATAAATGTTGAGCCTAACTAAACTGAGACATTTGATCAAGGATTTTTCAATGAACTTTATTAAACAAGAACTGCAAATGAATAGTAATATGGTGGCTAAACAAATGCTACAACTTTTGGTCGATATAAGCATAGCGTATCTTTCTTTGAAGTGCTAAAAATACCTGAGTAAATCACTTGATTCTTTAAATTTAATTCAGTGTCTATCTGTTCGTTATATCCTAAACTTTGATATCACTACATGAGTTTGGAATATGGAGAGTTAAGAATCTGTAGACAGAATACTACTTTTTTTAGCACGAATAAGCTGTATAATATCTATAATTATATTTTTCTAGACATATTTTTTTTTGGGATCAATTATTGGTACAATAATTTTAAGCATCCTATCGGATAGAATCCTCAGTAATAGAATGTAAATATCTCTTTCTATTAATAAAGTTAGATACTTGACTGCCTCAGTCATTACATTCTTCTAGATAATATACATAGTCACTTCCTTTTATATAGATGACTGGGTCTAGAATACAGAATTGCCTTAGATTATTTTAGCATTATTAGTTGGCTCAATGATAGGATAAGGACGATTTTTGTATCGAATCATAATACCACTATTACTAGTAATTAGATTTTGATTATAATGATTGAAATAGACAAAACAGATAACTGAGAGAAAAGTTAAATCATTTTAAGGAACATTGGAAAACAATTCTATTAGTTATGTTGGCACTGTTCTCGGTGTTACTATAGGAATGCCTTTCTTGTGCAATACTATTCTTTTCCCAAACTTAGCGTTTATAATGGATAAAATAGAATCTTACAACAATGCAAGTGCATTATTCTTATCGTTACTTTTGGTTCTCTCCATACTTGTGCTTTACAAGAAAATCAAGCAAGATCTAATGACCTTCAGGTGCATCAGGAAGCGATTCCCAGCTATCCTGAAGTCGAGGAACATCAGGAACGAGGACGATGAGTGAGTTCTCGTTAGCATCAGACGCATTCAGTATACCAGGTCCACAATGTCAACCAATAAAAACAATTCAACTTTTGAAAGTGTATAGCCAAAAATAAGAATAATAAGTTAGGTTTGATTTAAGTTACTATCTTAATATAAAATTAATTTGTTAATTAAGTTCAAATTCTTGTAAAGACTATTTTCTTCAGATGAAAGCATCCTAAAGATAGGCATCTGGATCGTGACCTCCTTTAGTGACTACCTCTTTATACTATTTGCGATCTTCTTTTTAATGACGTCTTTTAACAAACTGCTCAAATTTACGGGATCTAAGCTTTGATGGTGTAATGTATTTTTGATTTTACCATAAAGCTTCTCCACCCATTGTATCATCGAAAGCTTTGATTGGTTGTAAACAGAATCTAGGTCCTATCTCAATTAGCATAAGCTTTTCAATATCATCTTCAGCTGTGAATTTTTCCTCGTGTTAGTTTACAATTTGATAATTTCTAAACCAAACACGATCATCATAGTAACTGAATGATAATACGTGATCAATGAATGGCTTGCTCTTTGGGTGGTTTTTAGGGGTTGTGAAGGCTTAAGATAGCATTTCTTTCACTAATTGCAAGAATGGAGATGAATCGAAAGAGTTGTCAAAAGAGAGCATAGGTCTGCTAAATTTCAAGCAATTACCTGTCAGCTTTAGCTCATCTGAGGTATGTAAGTTTTATACTGCAAATTTAATGCTTGGTCCTTCTGGTGACTTCATTAACCACATGAAGTAATCAGATTTTTTTCTTTGCTCAAAATATATGCAATTGTTGCAACTTCTCTAGAAGCATAAATCATCTATAGCATCCTTTGCAATCTTTCTCTCAACTTTGTTCTCCTTTTTACCATGAGGTAAGAGATCTATTATATCGCTCATCAGATGTCTAAATCTTGAATTGACTCCTCTAGCACATAAAACCAAAGTTCTCTGACGATTTTTCCAGTCTTTGGATAGTGGATCCTAATCCTTGAATGCACTCAATTCATATTCCTAAATATGTTCACAATTTATTTATATATTACATTTTTCTTTTCACTCTCATCCTACTCATCATCAATATTAAGATCTTTGGCTCCTAATTTTTTCTTATTCAAAGACTAATCTTATTTTTTATCCTCAATATCGGAGTCTGATGATTCGTCAACTGATGATGAATCTGAATCTATTTATTTCTTTTCGTCTAAATCTTCTTCAAACTTGGACTTGTTCAGTTTCTCAAGTTTTTAGGCTTTCTTGAAAGCAGTAGACATTTTAATATTGTATAAGGAAAAATAAATATATAGCCTTCAATGATTAATATGCAATTTATCCTTCAAGGGGTTTTGGGGTTTTGGGGTTTTGGGGTTTTGGGG